AAAAAAAAAAAAAAAAAGTCAAGATAATTCAATTATGACATTAAGTTTTTTTTTTTTTTTGTTGATTCGCATATTATCATTCAGTTTTGCGTAAAAAATTTGATGGATATGTGTTTAGTATCTTAATTTTTTCTGTTCGATTATATAGCAACTGTTTTATTAAAATTGGCATACCGAAGAACGTTTCTTATCTTGATCAAAAATTTCAGATCTGCATTGTTGCCCAGTTCTTGTTGTTCCTGTGGGACGTTAAGATTCTGCAAGGCGAAGCACCAAACTAAGCGTTAAACTGTTACGATCGAAACTGTTATACATCAAGAAACAACAACAACAACAAAAAAAATTTTCTTTTTTTTTAATGATGCTTCTACTTCATTGATAATTTGTTTTTTTTGCTTTTTTTTTTTCTTGATAGGGAACGGATCATCGGCTAACAAATAGCTAATTTTTGTCCATTACCTTATCTAATAATATCATCGAACAATACACTTTGGTTTTTTTTACCTGACAACTGTTCCTTTTTTCCTTTTTTTTTTTTTTTTGTTTTGCTGTAACATTTTGGTTCCTACTTTTTTTTTTCTTTTTTTTTTGTCTGCTTTATTCTGCCTCCTTTTGTTCGTTAAATATGGACGACAGTTAAAAGCGAAACGGAATTGTATCTGACAAGACTTCAGCATTTGTCAAGACTGCTTTTTTCTAACAATTTCTTTTGATATTATCTGTACGGAAATTTTCTTCCAATTTTTTTTTTCATTCTGCTATTATTAATATCCATATTCATCAGAATCTCAATGATTCGCATTTTCACATATTAATCATTTAATTTCTTTTTACATATTATTTTGCATATGTAATTTCTTTTCTTTTTTTTTTTTTTTGTCATATAAATTTTGATATAAACTTTTTTTATTTTATTTCTTTGTTTGTGTTTATTTGTTTGTTTACAAATCTAATTGTTGGTGTTAAGTAGACGCCATTAACCGATGTGAAGGAACAAAAAAGAAGAAAAAATATCACATATCCAGCAAACACACACAGATACACACACAAATACACACATTTAACCTTCAATGTTTCATCTTGAACTAAAGATTAGCAAACGCAGCCTGAACATTCAAACAGCACTTGATTGAAATCACACTAAGTTGAACTGAGTTGAGCTGCTTTTGCTCATCGACAATGTCTTATCCATCGAAAAATGCTGTTGCCAAACAGTATTATATATTAGTTGGAGATGTT